CCAAAATACCTGACTAAATGCAACTCTAAGGAGGAATACCAATTTAAAAAAAAAATCACTTGCTTGATGTCAGACTAGAACCTTGTTGTTAAGCAATAATGCCATCTTATGGCTACATAGCAATTTGTAGTCTAGAAACTTCTTTCGCTTTTATTATTTCATTTGGACTGTGCTATCTCCTTAGGCTTGGGAGTCATTTCCTAAACATGGGGCAAAGGTATTAATGGTTTAAGGGATAGCAAAAATGGTATGAGAAAGAAAAGACAACAGAGTACTTGACACTTAGTAGGCCCTCAAGTGTTTTTCTGAAAGAAAAAAAGGAAGTTTTTTCTAATACTAAGGAGATATTATGTTAATTTTCTCTTTATTTTCACGTGCTTCCTGTAGGTATCGTTTATAAGTAATGAGTAACCCATCAAGAAATAGATGAAAACAGAATTTAGCAACAATGTCCCATACATTTAAATATTAATCTTATATATATGTATATCTACCCATATACATGGTACATAGGATTCAAGGATTTAATGTTTACTATATTCACTATTTGTGTTTCCATGGACAGGAGCCACTTTTAGTATTTTGATAACTTGTAAGTTCACTGAAACACATGTTGAAATTCTATATGCTGGAAGACAATATTGGAAGCAGGTCTCTTAGAGTAGACAATGAGTGAGCAGTCACAAATCAATCTGGATTTTAATTCTCTACTTGCCCTCTCCTAAAGAGTAATGTCTGTTTTACACTATGAAATTAATATAAGTGAGTTTTGTCATTATGGCATTCATGAATTTGTTGATTAATGATGGTCTCAGAACCTATGCCTTAGGAATGCTAAGAGTCTAACACATTTTGCCATATTTGTAACTTATTGTGAGTATGCAAACATAGTAGAACTTGATATTTTGGTAAAATAGAAATACTCCATGTAGGATGAGCTTGAGCAAGTCATTTAACATCTTTGAGATTTAGTCTCTCCTGTAAAATAAAGCGGGACAAAAATCACTAATGTATTTTCTAGCTATAAAAAAATCATTTATTATTAATGATTAAGTATCTTTAATAGTTTAGATTATTGTTCACCAAATATTCATCCTTCTTCACCATCTGCTAATGGATGGGACGACTTTCCCAAATTCTATGGATGTTAGGCTTGCTCTGGCGAATTGACTGTGAGTGGACTTGACATAGTCCATATATATTATGGCATAGGCCATAAATGCTCTTGGGAGGTTAGGCTTGTTTTATACTCTGATTATCCATCATGAGCAAATCATGCCACTGGCCCTTCATCTTAGGCCCAGAGTAAAGACACATGCAACATGCAACCTGCATCCGAGGTTAGGGGGATTTGAATCACTGTATTATGGCAATAGCTAAATAATATACTATCATACATGGATCATATATGAAGAAATACCAATACTTTCTTACTGACTCAAAAATATTTTGATTTAACCTCGAGATGGGTTATTTAAAAATTTAGTAAATTTTTATTGAGAACCCAACATGAAGGCTATACTGGCCATTTGTCTATTTATGAATGTATAACTTCTAATCTTTCTAAGGATTCAAGAATCTACCATTGTATGGTCCTTGGTGGGAGACAAGTCCCTAACTACCATGACAAAAAAGCCCAAATTCCAGCTTTTTATTTTCCCTGACCCCTGGCAGTTAGAACCTAGTTATATGACCTCAGCTTGCCTTATAATAGGACTCTGCAATTTATGACCCACCAGCAAAATCTGGCCCACCACCTGTCTTTGTAAACAAAGTTTTATTAGAATAAGCATTGCCCATTCATTTATATATTATCTATGGCTTCTTTTAACCTACAACAGTAAAATTGAATAGTTTCAACAAAGATATATGGCCTGCAAAGACTAAAATATTCACTAACTGAACCTTTAGAGAAAAATATCCAACCCCTGCCTTACTAATAGTTCTGTCAGAAATCTTAATTCTGAAATTAGTGACACAAAAAGAAGTAATAATTTAGATACTTTTTGGCAGTGATTGTAGCAAACATTATTCAGTGACAAAGATACTTCTGAGTATACCAGCATATCATGGCTTTGAAAGCAATTTATTACTTAGATTCATTTTGTGGCTTGATGCTGGATGTGTTTCTGAATGCCTAGCCTGGTCTTCTTTGATAGTTTCTGCCCATTTTTAAAGCTGGATTTCAGGCCTTTCCATTGATTCTATGAGTTACCTGATATCCTTCTAATAAACTGTGTAATTCTACCTAAGGTTAGCAGAGTCACTTTCTGTTAACTGTAACTCAGAACCTCGAATGGTTCACAGACCTTGCTTTATTACTGACCCTGTGTAAGATATTCCTTTTCCACTCCCCAGAATCTTGCTCTTGCCATCTAGCACAGCTTACATCTATTAAGCCATGTTTTACTGACTGCTCATTTTCTCTCTAGGACTGGGGGATTCTTCAGAGCAGGGACTGAATTTAATTCATTTTTCGATAGTGCTCAGAAAAATGTGAAAGAATATCAGAATAAATTAACAGGCATGAAGACGATCAGAGCCATAAGACCACCATTTTTATCATCAATATTGCCAAGCTTAACTGAGTCATCATCATGTATAAGCGATCCTCTAAGCACTCTACATGCACTCTGTCATTCAGTCCTCATAATGACCTTATGACTTAGAAAATATTTTTATCCCATTTTATAGATAAGGGAATTGTGGAGCATAAAAGTTAAGGAACTTACCGAAGGACACAAAGCTAATCAGTGGCAAAGCCAGGATTCCAAAACAATTTGGACTGTATATGATTTAAACCAGTTTTATCTGAGACTAGACGAAAAGACAGGATATTTAATAGTTCCTCACCAGTTACTACAGAAGGTCAATTAGAATAAAATTAAGATACTCTTCCAGCCTCTAGATATGAAAAGAGCGAGCCTAAAGCTGTTAGAGAAACTCTATCCTTTGCCAGACATATGAAAGGCCCCAGGTTTGGGGTGAAATTTCAGTTTACCCTCTCTATGGAATGACATTGGTGTTTCTGCTTCTTTTAAAGTCTACGGTTAAAGGTGAACTGAAAGGAAAGCATCTATATGACCTGGTAAGAAGGGAATAACTAGCTCACTGGATAAAGGTGACATATATAAAGTATGGGAGCAGCCTCAGAAAGCAGAAAGTTTCACCACTGCTTTTAGTACAGAGTAGTAGATGCCTATAGAAGCACAGTGATCACTGGCTACCCATGACCGCTCCTCCCACAAGTTTCTTAGGTGATGGTGTTAGTGGCCTGGATGGCTAAGAGAAAACACTGTCTGAGAGAAGATGACAGAGACAAGAATATCCCAACATGGGAATAAGCGCTCCAAAAGAGGGTGATGAAACCGACCTCACTGGAGTAGCTTACATAAGAGGATCATAATGACTCAGTGTGGGATATTGAGAGAAGGTATACCACAGTGGCATTATAAGTTTGTCTTTTATGGCATATGTACAGGGTTGTTGAGTTTGTTTTATCAATACTGGCTTTGGATACCCTGGGGTCAGCTGTTTTCCAGAAAGTTGAGATAAAACTATTAGACCAGCCAGGGATAAATATTCTCAGGTTTCTGAGAGGAGGCTTCAGTCCAGACATGCTGAACATCCACTTTGTACTCAGTACTATATTAGTACCAAGCATATTGTACAAAATAAAAGATAGCTCTTGTCTTTAAGGAGCTTGTGCAGGAGGTACAAAAGTAAACACATTGATTACTATGTGGTAAATTCTAGAAGTAGGTTACTTTGGAGCCACAGAGTCTGGCAACATTTACAACTACATAACTAGTATATTGATATTATATTACATTAAATGTGAAAATAATATCTAAGTTTCCAGACTTTATAGTAAACTTTAAGAAAGAAAGAACATCTCAGGTGAGATCTGAAGGACAGATAGGCCAGAAGGAGAACAAAACATACGAAGATCTTCAAATCGAATTAACACTGCTAGAGCAGAAATTGGAGGGACGGTAATGTAGGCAGGAATTAAAAAGCAGTGAGGCTGACCAGATAAGCAGGGGACATGTGAAGGCTTTATAGGCTCAGTTAGTGAGTATGGACTTTATTCTAAGGGAAATGAAATTATAGTATTGAAGTTCTTACACTTTGGAAAACAACTCTGGATAAAAGGTGATTAGGAGCAAAGTAGGGATTCTCATTGGAGATAACCAAGATTTCTGCTAGAAGTATTAGTTTAAGAATCTAGTGTAGTAAATGAAGAACTACAATAGAGAGAAGGTTAGAAATGGACAGAGATGAGAGATATTTAGGAAGTTCACTATAGCTATTAAAAATGATTTGATTTTCCTTGAGAATAATGAAGAAGACTGTCTTAGGACTATAAATCGTTGAAACAAATTGTTTTAAAGCCATTAGACCTTTATAAATTTTAACCTAAAATTAAAAGAGAAAACAATACTCTACCTTCTTGAGGCTAAAGAATGTATATAAATTCAAAAATTTTGGTAAAAAGTTAGATACTTTTAATTAAGGTAAGCACTAAAACGCTGTTTTAAATCAAGCCAACACATTCTTCATAGCAAAAAAATAAGTGGGGGGACTTCAAAATGTAAAGTAATGCCTTCAAAATAGAAACAATTAAATGAAAATAAACTTTTTGTTCATAGCTTACATTTTAAACATATTAATCCAAGTATCAAACTGATATAAATATATAGAACACAGGTTTGACCAAAGATATACATTTTATATTACACAAGTATTTACATTAACTCAATTAAATAATCAAACCTTTTTTGACATTATCTGAATTTTAGCAGATAATATAGTGCTCCAACATAATGCTAACTTTAGTACAAAATAATTTGTTCTCACTCCACTTAACTTTTTCCAGTGATAGTGATACCTCTCTCTCTTCCTCTCCACCTCTTTTTTTCCATTGCTAACATTGAAATAAACTCTAGAGTTCCCTAAAAACAGGTATAATAATTTAGTAAAATGGAAGTGTTACCTACCCTTGGCGGTCCTTGTACATTTTGTTGACTC